TGTAAAAAATTTCAGAGATGCATCTCTAGAATTTCTCAATGTTTGGATTCTCATTACCTAGAGATGCATCTCCGTAAATTATCAGTCTGTTTTAATTTTTTTGTTGATTTTATTGATTGCATAGTTGCTTGTACCAATTATTTGGTTTACTTACAGGCATTATGGCTGATAGAGACGATAGACTGAGGCACGTGAGAATTGCACAACATGCATCAGTGCAGAGGGAGAAGATCCATGTTTAAGAGGACCTTGTTCACTATAGCCATGCACATGCATCTACTTATGAAGCTCATGCTTCTCCATCTTCTTCTTCTTGTAGTAGGTGAGATTCACCTACTGACACATCACTGCCTCTATCCTTTGGCATGAGATAATTTTCACCTATTTCGACGCCAGAGGTACCCGAGTCACCGGTGGTACCTAAGGCACCAATACTACCTCTGACTTATGAGGCTTCTGAGCCAGTATTACCTCTAACTAATGAGGTTGCTAAGCCTGTGCTACCTCTGGTTAATGAGGCTGTTGAGGATGACGATCCACCCTAGGAATTTAGAGGAAGCTCTGTATAATTGTCACTACTGCCTATATACCCATACCATACTACCAGACATATCTGGTACGTAGAGGTAAAATTAGTTGGATTCATTTTTTTAAAATTTATGTTTATTGTTATATTACAAGTTTTTGACATAGATTTATTTTTCTGAAAGACCGTGATCCACTTAAGTTTATTAACCATGAGCGAAAAATTACTGGCATGTCTCAGCCGAATGAGGAGTGGTTTCAGACTGCTTTGTCCCTAACTGAGATGAAGGACTTGTGCATGACCGGTTATATTATAGTCAACCACAAGATGCTTAATGCATTCGTGGAGAGATCACACACGGATACCTCATCATTTCATATAACTCTTGGTGAGATGTCTATCACACTCAATGACATGTCGTATTTGCTGCATCTTCCGATCAGGGAGAAACTTCTAGATCATGGGAGGACTAAGAAAGAAGAGGCACTCAAGATGATGGTAGACTCGTCTCGAGGTGAACTTCTGTATGTTATACGGAGATGCATTTTGTATTAATATTTGACAAAAATTAGGTCACTGCTACAGATAACACATTTTACTATAGTTGAGGAAGAAATATAACTACGGCTGATGAATCGTGGTAAAGTCGTGTGTGGATGTAAGTGGGCTAGTTACAACCACAGTTTATTGGTCGTGGTAAAAACACAATAGCACGTAATATACCACAACGCTTGTTTAAAACAACCATATTGATTAATGTAGTTTGTTTTCTAACATAACTTAATTTTTCATATTATTAATTACTAACTCAATTTGAAAGACTTATATTAAATTAGTGGTTGGTAAAACTCTCAAGCCGAGTACGATATAATAAACTCATCTTCTAGGACATGTTAAACGAACAACATGATAACTACAATGTCCAAGTAATAACATTATCAATATCATAAACAATAACATACCTTAAACAACATATAACTTTTATAAAAAACATAGAACTTTTATCAACAATAACAAACTATAAACACCATACAACATAGCTCAGTAAAAACAAAATCATCAACAACATAGAACTTTTATCAACAACAACATACGTTAAACAACATGCAACATAACAAATAAAAATAAAATTATCAACAACATAGAAATTTTATCAACAACAACTTTAATCAATATACAACATAGCTCAACATAAACAAAATAATCAATCACATACAACTTTTATCAACAACAACATACAACATAGTTCAACAAAAACAAAATCATCAACAACATATAATTTTTACCATCAATAACATACCTTAACTAATATACAACACAGGTTAACAAAAATGAAACCATAAACAACATAGAACTTTTATCAATAACAATATGCTTTAAACAACATACAAAATAGCTCAACAAAACAAAATCATCAAGAACGTAGAACTTTTATAAAAAACAACATACCATAAACAACATACAACATAGCTCAACAAAAACAAAATAATCAACAACATACAACTTTTATCAACAACAACAACATACAACTTTTATCAACAACAACAACATATAATGTAGCTTAATAAAAACAAAATCATCAACAACATACAACTTTTATCATCAACAACATACCCTAAACAACATAAAACTTTTATCATCAACAACATACCCTAAACCACATAGAACTTTTATCAACAACAATATAACTTAAACAACATACAAAATTTATCAACAAAAATGTAAAGACGAAGTGAAAGGTGGAAACGTCTACGTACCTGAAATGTGAAGAGGATTAAGTGAAAGAAATATGTTTTGTGTAACACTTTTCCTTGGTATGCAACCGTTCATGGAGGTGTGAGAGAGTGTTAGGATTTTGTTATGAAAGATATGATTTTCTGTCTTGAAAGAACAAAATTTCACTTAAATATAAGTTATATATTTCACCACTATTGAATAAAATGTCTGTGATTAAATGTAAGTACATTTCACAACGGTTGCTACTATAAACCGTGATGAAAGGTATTTTAATTTTAATATCAATATTAAAATTATGAGTGGGGATCAACTTACTCTAAGAGTAAGTTTTTTAACTTACTCCAAATTATAGCATTTGAATTGAATCGAATCTAATGGTTAAATTAGTTTTTTTTTACTTAATTAATCATTAGATTAGATTCAATTCAAAGGCTATGATTTGGAGTAAGCTAAAAAAACTTACTCTTGAAGTAAGTTGATCCCCACTCTAATATTATAAGTGACACGCCTATTTTGTGGTTAATCGTGTAACTAAGATTATAGGCTCAAGTCTTTCAAAGCCCAAAAATTCTGGCTTGATCTAACCTATTTTCACCCTTACATGTGATTAATCGTGTAACTATCATATTGTTTCTCACTCTTTCTATTACATACAAATGGACCATCTAACATCTGAATGTCAACAATACATTTTTAAATGACATACTTTATGAAGAGGTCTACATGGAACAATCAAGTGATTTTGTGACTGATTATTCAACTCTAGCGTGCAAACTCAACAAAGCTCTTTATGACCTCAAACAATTCCATAAATAGTGATTTAAGAAAATTCAGGATATTCTCCTTCATCTAGGCTTTAAGGCTAGCAAATGTGATCCTTCATTGTTCACGATGTCTAAAAAATGGACCATCCAACATCTGGATGTCAACAATACATTTTTAAATGACATATTTTATGAAGAGGTCTACATAGAACAATCAAGTGATTTTGTGATTGATCATTCAACTCTGGCGTGCAAACTCAACAAAGCTCTTTATGACCTCAAACAATTCCATAAATAGTGATTTAAGAAAATTCAGGACATTTTCCTTCATCTAGGCTTTAAGGCTAGCAAATGTGACCCTTCATTGTTCACGATCTCTAAAAAAGATAAGTTTTCTATGTATTCTTTTTATAAATAACTTTGTTCCTCTCATTCAACAACTTATTACTAAACATAGCATTGGTTTCTCCCTCAAGTATTTAGGTGATTTGGACTACCTTCTTAGCATAGAAATTCACAAGCAATCTAATGGTACGCTCCTTCTCTCTCATTCCAAATACATTCGGGATTTACTCACAAGAACTATTATGTTCGAGTGCAACACTATATTTACTCATATGTAGTCTACTTGCAAACTCATCAAGGTAAAATTCAACTCATCACTTGATCCCTTTATGTATAGGTCAATAGTTGGAACCCTCCAATATGTCACATTGACTAGACAATAGATCTCCTATGCAATTAACAAGGTATGCCAATTCATGTTCATTCCTATTAAAATCTATTGAGTTTTCGTCAAAAAGTTTCTTAGATATTTCAATGACACTCGTGTCATAGCTTATTTTTTATCCTACTTTCATCACTATAATCATTCCTTTAAAAGTCTTTTTATGACGATGATTGTGTAGCTAAATTTGATGACAAAAGAAGTACATCAAGAGCTACAATTTACTTTGGCCCTAACTTAGTCTCATGGTAGTCCAAAAAACAACTTGTTGTAGCACGATACAACACTGATTGAACATTGGAGCCCCCCATACATGTGTCAACTGAGTTTTCTATGGATTCAAACTCTTCTTCAAGAATTGTGTGTTTCAGTGCAACCACCTCGAGTGTTCTGTGACAATTATCAACTATGTTACTGGATTCAAACTCTCCTCCAAAAATGGTGTGTTTCAATGCAACCACCTCTAGTGTTCTGTGACGATCAATCAACTATGTTACTGATCCACAATCCTATCTTACATGTTACAACCAAATACATGAAGATGTTACAACCAAACACATGAAGATTAACTTGTTTTTTTGAGAGAAAAAGTCATTGAAAAAGTAACTTTCAATAAGCCATATTTGACTCACACTAACACGATGACTGACACTAGTAACAAGTCATTACAACCTATAGTGGCATGTCATTTCTCAAGCACTATAAGTGTTATCATTGTAATTAATTTTGCAGTTATGAAAAATAGAAAACATAATTACAAATCAAAACCTCCTCTATCATTCTCTATATTTTAATATTTATCTTTATCTTTGACATGTCATGGGTTTTGACAATTCGCTCAATTGAATCACATGAGAATATGGATTGAATGGATTACCTTTAAATGAGTTACATGTATGATGTAGAAATGGATTCTTAAAAGAATTATTTCCCTACCTCATGACAGATACAACTGATGCATCAAAAAATCAATCTGCAAGTTGCATAATCTATAAAGCTAATTGAAAAACAGCATCTTTCTGATAGAAACAAAAAACAGAAATATAAAATCCACCTTATTATTAATCAACATGATGGTTATCTGTTAGTTCTAAACCAAAAATTACAGACGAATATCCCACAGTTCATTCTCCACAAGGAAGCTCAACAGATTATACAGAAGAAAAAAAATGAATTCTTTGAATAGAGAAAGATAATATGAAGAGCATCAGGAGCCACTGCTTCTCTGTGGAAAATAAATTGGTCCTTAGTTCTGCAGCATCCATTGCATGATGTCCTTCCTAATAACGCCTGCCGGCCAGTAAGCATTACAGTTTGATCTGAAAGCATCACGAGGATAGTTACTGAGGTACCGATAGTGGGTGGTTGTCCCAGCAGGATTTGGTGGTCGCAACATACTTGCAATGGTGGGGAAAGGTTTTGGCCATATACTTGTTGACGGGGTAAATAAACGCTTATTTGATCCCCTCTTGAATAAGGTGTAGTAACTAGGTCTTTTGAGGTTAGAATACTTAGCTTGAAGCTTTGTCGTTCTTATACTTGAGCTAGCACCATTTGTGGGTGATCCACCATGAATCTGAGCTGACGGTTTCATTCGATCGAGCCATCGCAAAATGAAGTTTCCGAGATTCCGACCAACTTCTATGTCCCTTTCTTGAATGTTCTGATGAACTTTGATTGCCACATCAAATACAGAACGTGTTCTTCTGTGAAATGACAACATAAAAACCAGTGATGAAATTGTATTATGTCAAACTATGACTTGTAACACAAACAAAACAATATGATCATGTCTTCATTGACAAGCAATGGAGAAAAAAGGGGAAAGGAAAAGATCAAACAATCATGATATTCCTAAGATTCTCAAATCACAGTAAACTAAAAATCCATGTTCAATGATTAGAATCCTTGTGTGGTATATTTGCGAAAAGCCAAAACCAATGCTTATAGTTGATCTCGTGGGATAATTACTAAACAAAATGCTCTAAAATCTTATTTTACCTCTTGTCTGACTGGTTATAGGATTGATGCTTAGAAGTAAGACTATACTTAATGGTTTCAAGTTCCAATCGTTCCCTAGACTATGCTATAGTTAGAGCCTTGTAGTACCAGATTTCCTTTGATATGAAGAAAAATAATACAGTATATTACATAACCCCGGGACAAATGCAAACACCAAAAATAATAAAGATTCTATCTGTTCATTAAATCGTTCAAGGCTGTGAATCATAGGGGAGGTAGTTAGGCATCACCAAACTAGATCTTCAGATAGCCAACCTATGCGTGACTCCACGGAACCTATTTGCTACGAAACACGGACACGTCGACACCGGTAATAATTTAGAAAAATGAATAAGTTGAACACAATTACAAGTGTCGGTGTCTGAAACTAACACCCCTTTTTTCAAAGGCATCCGTGCTTCAGAGCCTATTTGTTACTATGGTCCAAAGGAAATTCTTTAGAATTACTGCGCAAAACAAGAAATAAGACAACTTCTGTCTAAGATCATATGCAAACCAAGCACAGATTATTATCAGTAAGCTTTCATAAAAAAAACTGTTTCAAATCCCCCTTTGATTTCCACTAAACAAGAAATTGAATGATGATGAAAACTTCCCAACAGTTCTATAGTAGCAAAAAGACATTTGTATCTAAAGCAGAGAAGGGTAAGTTTTCAGTATCACTATCAGACATCGCGTGAATCAATACAACACACATATCATATAACATACAGATTAGAGAATGTAACAATTACTAAATGAGAATATCACATTGTAACCGCAACCGAAATCTAAAATCATAAACCACAAACTGCAACAAGTTATCACTCTCAAAAGAATGTAACATATCAATTTCCACAAAACTGATATCGTATCACAGAAAATAAAACCTAATAGAAAAATCAAACACTTTGCATTTTAGGTAGAAAATCACGAGCGATTGAATTAAATTGAAAAAGTGAATACCTGTGAAGAAATTGGCGGATCTGAGGGTGGTTAGGGTTTATGATCCTACGTTGAATCCTGAGAGCGAGCCTGTAAGTTCGTTTGAGACCCAAAAAATACGCAGTTCCCAGTGTAATCTCCCATAGCACCATGATCGCGATATACCTCTAATTTTTTCTAAATACTTTAATTAATTAGTAGTAGTATTAATGTAATAATATAGTTATGCTCTCTGAACTTTAATATAATCATTTCTTTGCCTGTTGCGCAAGTTTGTTTTCATTTTTGCAGCCGCCACACTTAACCGATTGATCGCAGTATATGTTTTTCTTCGTGTCTTTTGTGGTTTCATCATTGCCGTTCAGTTCTGGAATCCGATTAATCTTAACCGTTGACTTGTTTTATGAAAACCTATGAGCGTGGCGTTTTGTCGTCCCATCGTAAAGGCCCACGGTATGAACATAGTCAAGGGAGGAGAATTTATTTTCTGTTATATTCTTCGAAACTAGTTACAAGTTGTATAAGTTACACGTATAAAAAATAACTACTATTCAACTTTATATTTAAATATTATATATAAGTGAAAATAATTAGTTATTTAAAAAAATTTAATTTTAATTTTTTATTAAAATTTATACTTAAATACACATATCACAAATTCAAATACTCATAATTTTAATTAAAATTAAAGTTTTAAAAAAAATCATACATATTGTTATATGTATACATATTAAAAAATACGGACAGACGGACATAAATGTGTCTGAACGCTAGTTTTTATAATGATAAAAATATCATTCGTATTTTTCAAAATTTTATTTTCTTTAAAAAAGATTACTTTGAAAAACTAGTAAAACATGAAAAAAAATTTGATGGTATTTCTGAAAAATCCGATACATTTTTTTTTGGAAAAGTCGAAGTGTAGGCAATATTGGACTTTTTAAAAATCGGTATGATTTTTTCCCAAATTTTTTTGAAAAAATTAATATTTTGTTGCATTTTTATCGCATTAAAAATTTGATATTTTCTGGATAGTAATCGTTACCGTGTTTTTTAAAAACTTCGGTACATTTCTATCAGAAATTTCAAAATATCTAAGAAAAACTCAAAAATTCTGGATAATAGTTGTATGTATTGATTACATGTCCAACTTCTTTTTTACAGTAATGTGAGACAATGAAGTGTGTTAGTCACAATCATAAGATATTGACATCGATACGACTTAAGAAGGTATGGTTTCAAGATGCACTATTAGCATGTATCAGAAATTGATTCTAAATTAAATGGATCAAGGCTAGAATCGTACATATGAGCAATTTCCCAATAGTATTTCAAACACGTGAATACTCATGATAATTCAACTTACACAATATAAATGAAAACTTGAATGTAAGGAAGAAAGAAATATGGTATTAAGCAATGAAGATGAGAGTTCGAATTTTTCATGTATCTAAAACAATCTATTTATAGATTAAGAAGTAGTTTCACATGGTTGCGATCCTTGATCAAACACTTCATTTCACCAAGTATTGCAATTTTATCCATTAAGTGTTGCATCTCTTTACTAAGTATTACAAGTTTTTGAATTCAAAAGTAATGAATTGGACTAACGACCATTGTCATGTGTGGTAGCCTGTCGCCATCATCTGTTTGTACGCGAGTAGTTTGATTGCTCTGATGCATCGTGCCTAAGTGCTCAAGTGTCACATATAAGCTGCCACTAACGCCTATATACCCACAGTTATGGTCCTAGAGTCGGAACTGGTGTCACTAGTGGCGACACTAGCGAGGGGGAGTGTGAAGATGACAAGTGTCATATAGACTTATGACCACCACACTCATCCATGTGGCACTTTCTCCTATTTATCTCCATAATGAGTTAGTAAGTGCAATTATATATAAGGAGCATGGAAGTGAGTTAAACTTTTAATGTGAGATTTTTCCTACACATTAAATGGTTACTCACATACTTGCAAGGTATCGTGTTATTATTGAAACATAACAATGGTCATGTATTCAATTACTCTCTTCATTAATTAATAATTACAACAATCCTCCACTTGTTTTAATAATGACAAGACCAATTCCAAAAAATAAAATAAAGAATGCTAATACAATTAAGTACTTTTTGATTTAAACTTAACCTTAGTAAAGACAACACAAAATCTAATTAGAATTTCAGGTAGCAAAACTCTGAACATGTTATTCCATATGATCAGATCACTGTTACATAACACACACTTTATAATTTTTCTTCGCCTACATCTCTCTCCTAAAACTATTTATGCCCATGTGATTTTCCTGTCTTGTGAACTTATCGTAAAAGAAACTTCAACTCTCACTTTGAGACGACACCATCTCAAAATTTACATATGTGAAGTTCATACTGTATCTACTTTACTCGATATACATATTCTCAATATTTAACTTCGTTAAGAGTTTAAAAGACTCAACCCTCTAAATATAATAGTCAACATTATTACATAGTATAGCATAAACATCTAAATCAACGATTTATTTTACCCGTTGAATTTAAGGTTAATGTTTTCCTTACGTTAGATTGTGTTCCTACCATTTTAGGAACTCTTACTCAAGGAGTTTCAATCTCATACCTCTTAAGGTAGTATTTACTAAACCTTCGGTCATTGGTTTAGTACATGGATCGTCTAAATTATAGCTTGAACATATATATGCGAGTGAAATAATTACATCCTTAATCAAATTTCTCACAAAGTAATGTTTAAGACATATGTGCCTAGATTTTACATTATAGACTTCATTGTATATTCTAACTAAAGTGAATTGATTATCGCAATGTATCAATACCATTAAAATATTATTTTTATCCAATGGAACTTCCAACTGAAGCTCCCTTAACCATTCAACTTCTTGACTAGCGGAAGCGAGAGCCATGAACTTTGATGCCATGGTTGAGAGAATGATACTTTTTTTTTCTTGCTCTTCAAAGAAATTGCACCCCAAATAGTGTAAATATCCATCCAGTTGTAGATTTATGATCTCTAACTCTCAATATCCAACTCTCATTGTTATATCCTTCTAATAAGGTAGGAAACCTTATATAATGAAGACCAAGATTTTTGGTTTTCAAAAGATAATTGTCCTTGTTGTTGGACATGTGACTCCAGAAACAAGAGAGGGTGAATTCTGTGTTTCAAAAAAACATAAGTTTGAAAAACTTTTTGGATCAAAATTAGAGTTTGAAAACATTTTAGAAAACTTTAAAAGTTAAGTAGCAGAAATATAAATTTTAAAATATAAAGTGAAAAAAATAAAGAGTTAAGAGAAGAGAGACGAACACCAAGAATTATATAGGTTCAGTCAAAAAATGACTTGGTCATATCCTTAAGATTTGATCTTGAGAGTATCCAATAAACTTAAGAGATTTTAGTAGGTTGAACTCTAGAACCTCTTTTTTCAAGAAAAATGAAGTTTGTGGCTAACTTCTAACCAAACAGAAAACACAGAGAGAAGTGGTGAGTCTTCCTTCCAAATGATGGATCAAAGCGGTTAGTCTCATTTCCGCAAGAAACTTGGAGCGGTTAGTATTCAAGCTTCAAACGAAAATTTTATCACATGTTAATCTTGAACTTGGGAAAGCTTTTAACACCGAGACGAGCTTACAAGCCTAAACTTCGTTTTATACTGCGCTAAGGAAAAACCTGTGAGATTTTACCACCGGGATGATCTGGAACTGAAATAAGCTTTTATCATGGGCTAAGATTTAACCGAAACTTGGTTTTATCACGGGTTGACCAAAAACCTATGAAGTAATTTAAATGGGTTGAACTTTCAACCCTAAATAGAGACTTTATCACACAATCCGAAAACCAAAGATTTGTATGGGTTTATCTTCGAACCCAAACAAATAATCTCTAAATGGATAAGTTGTTCAACCAAGGTAAAACAAAAACTTCCTTGGTGAACTTAAAATCTACCCTTCCAAAATCATAACTTTCTCACTCACAAAACAAATTTCTCGAAAGCATTACGAATAAACTTTTAGTGAGAGAAAGTAGACCAAATAAATTTTAAGAAATGAAGTGAGAAGTGAGAAATGAAAATACATTTTATGGATCAGAAAATGAGATGTCAATTTTCATCCGTTAACGGGGATCTCTATGGGAGTTATTTGTTTTGAGCTCCGAAGTCGGGGCTTTTGTCCCCCGCGGGGACATGGATGGAGGGAAAAGTTCCCCCAATGACACTTTGGTGCGGGTATTGGAGAAGTACCCTCTGCCTTGCGGATTCCCCGACCCCGACCATAATATTTAACTTTATATTATATAATATATAATTATATAATTTGGCATGTTTATTTTATAAAAAATTAATTAATATATTAGGAAATGAAGAGTCATAAGTGGATCATTTTTTTGTTTTATTGTATAATGTATTGGTTCACCATTGAAGTACCTCATCCTAGAAAAGTGCACCCAATACATACAATGCATACACCCTTTCCTCTTCTTCTTTTCATAATTCTCTTAGTCTCCTCCATTCCTTGAATAAATTAAAGATCGGTGGTGATATCTATATTTTGTGAGCCTAGCTAACTCAATAGTTATGATCTCCGATTCTCACCGCGATACTAATCCAATATTATTTAAGCAATATATTTGAATTGGTAGGATCAAATCAAGCTTTTCTTTCTCTTGGGTAAACTTACCTAGGATTTCATGCAAGTCAACTACTTCCTTTTTCAGGGAAACACAAGTCTCGCACGTTTCTCTTAATTTTATATTTTTTGTAATTTCTAACTTAAGTGATTTATTAATTTCTTAAAGAGATTTTAACGACTCCATAAGACTCAAATTACATTATCTAAGTTTATCATTCTCGCTAAAGAACTCAATACTAATTATAATCAATTACTTATAAGAGGGCTTAGTTTCCTAACCATTATCTTCCTCATAGGATGCCTTTAAGAAAACTTCATCCTCTTTGTTGGAAGTGGATTGATTACTTTATCATTCTCATCGAAGTTCATTTTTCACCTCTTCTTTCAAATATTCCACTTGAATACACCTCTTATTCACATGAGTTTCCTTCATTTAATGAATATTTCGAAGATTTCTCAGCTACTAAATATGTTCTTTCAAAAGAGACCATCGTAGTTGTACGATAGAAGTTT